AAATAAGCCCCTCTGCATCACCAGATGATACATATGTGATTAAAAAGTCGATTAGAATTGAACTACAATGAATGTAGACGCATGAAAAATAATGAATAAACAGTGAGGGTTGAATGTGAATGCACTTTATTTCATAGATAATAATAGGCGACAGTTTGTTGCTAGGTTAACTGTAATGAGATTATTCCTCTCATCACAGTTAATGATCATGAACAGATAGATGAAAATGTAGCCGGTTAAAAGCAGCTTGTTTGAATGACATGTCCCATTGCTTTGACGAACTTTAGATGTTAAGAGGTTTTTGCATGTCAGCTTCCAGGTTATGACCTCAGCTTCTAATATCTCATCCACTGAACATACAGGAGGGAAAGGGTGCATGGTTAGAAAAGCCTTTGAGGTCATGGTGTGGTTTGAATTGTTTTTTACTTTTTTCATCAGCCCATGCAAGTCCTTCCGCGTCCATGATTTACACCCCAGCCAGTAATCAACTCAGTGGTCATAATTGCATCTGTGAACAATAGAGCATTTTCCTCTTTCAGAAAGGCTTTTTCTAGCTGGATTTACAAGGCTGTAAATAGCTGAGGAGATCACATGAGGATTACTGCATTATGATTATCAGTAACCAATTTAGAGAATTTCTAAATTCTGTGTTAAATATTGATGTTCAAGAGTGCAAACATAAACCAATTGTCTGGTTTCTGCACTTGGCTTTTCTGTATTTTGTATTCCGATTAAGGATAACTGTTCTTCTTATTTGCATGCTTTCTTTGTAAGTCTCGGCTGTACTATCAGAAGTAGCCTTTAGCTAATTACTGAAGCTACCAAACCATCACAAGAGGAGGGAAGCAAAGTTAAAGATTAATTATTAATTCATCTTTCTTTTTTCTTTTTCTTTTTTAGCTTTAGGCATTACATAACATATCTTAACAATCAGTAACAGCAAATGCATCCATGAACTGCACTGGATCTGTTGGCTTAAAGTGCAGTATGGACCTTTGCAAATCCAACATCAGATGATATACTTTTATGCAATCCAGTAGTTTTTGCAGATAGTGTAAGATAATAAAAAATCTAAATCAAAAAAACTTAAAGCCAAAAGTCAACATGGCAGCTTTGCTTTGACTTTGGTTCTTGGATATGAATGAAGTGCTTCCTTGTAGAATTCCATCTAAAGTAGCTTCTCCAAGTAGCAAACGCTAGAGAGTGGGAGCTGTGGTCGCATATTTACAAGACATGCACATACATTCATTTCAAATCTTGTGTCTCAGGATTCCTCGACATGGAGCTAAACAGGTACTTTCACATGAGGGAGAAATGACTGGTTCGAGGAGAGAATATGTTTCAAATTTAGTTGTAGAAGAAGGAGACTGAAGAAAAGTAGAAAAGGGGAGAGATCCACTGACTTAGAGACTCAGAGAGAAGGGGAGTGAAGAAAGAGAAACAGAGAGAGATATTGTGAAGAGTGAAGTTTCCTTGTGTAGATGTACGCTGACAGGTAAATTAGCATCTGCGGTTAATGGGGCCGAATTCGGCCAAGCCCTAGTAGGCACCCTTTCAGTCTGATAAACAGGCAGCTTGTTGACCCAACCATTGCCTCTGTCACTCCATTTCTCAGCTTTCAGACACACAAACAACACCCCCACTCTAACACTAACATGCACACACACACACACACACACACACACACACACACACACACACACACACACACACACACAGAAGAAGAAGCGTACATTAAGCTGCCATGGATAAAGAATGAGTAAGAAGCTAGCTATGAAGCTTGAAATGTTCAAAAAGATTTTCAGATGTTAGACTTCTGATTGATCTTCTTTTACGCTTCTTTTTTGCAGAATTGAGGAGTAGTGAAAATCACGGATCACAGCATGCATCCTGAATGAAGCACGTGGAGTTGTTTGCAATCTGCTCATCAAGACGAGGGGTAAATCTCTCTCATGCAGCTGCGTTTCTTCCAATCACTTTGGTGTGTATATCCTTAATACCATGTTAGAGCTGAAGAGAGGAGTGGGAGTTTATATGTGCATGCACATGAGAGTGTGTGCATGTGTATATGTATTGTATACGTGCACACGCATAAATGTTATGCATGAAAGACACCGCAGCAGGTTATTACCACATATCAGTGTGCCTGTCTTCTCGTAGCGGGTGTCTGAATGTTTCATCTTATCATTAAATGCTGACAGGCTTCACAGAGTACTGCCACTGATCCCCGTTAGAGGAATAAGGGGCCTGACTTCATTAGCCCTGTTAGTACTAAGCTGCTTTACCCTCACTCATGCCTGGCTTAACCTGAACAGTGATAAATGCTGAGAGGAGGAGGATAGATAGGCAGAGGAGAAGAGGGGTGAAATAAAAGGAGAGGACGGACAACGGTGTTTAAAGAGAGAGGCAAAGGTGCCAAAGTCGGGTAGAGAGGAAGAGGGAGTGAGAAATGGGAGGGCACAGAGCGTGTGAACCTGAAGTGTTCAGAGAAAGGGGAGGGGTTGAAGCTCAATGTGGCGTTTGAACTGCGAGGGATTTACAAATGCAAAACGAGCAAACAATCAATTAACTTGTCTTGCATTAATCAATTATTACGCTGAAGCATTGACAGGCAAAGTGCTTCACTGAGATTCCAGCGTGAGGCTCCTCTCTGTTGAAGAATTAGCATTGACCTCTGTGCACATTTGCATCCAGACTCATGCACAATCTAATTCATGCTTGCACATACACATTTGAGCACATATCATTGTTCTCAGCATATTTCGCAAGTACATTAATCTGGTTTCCCTCCTACGAGGACCCCCCTCTCCCGACTCCCCTCTCAACACTCAGGCTTTTTCTCCTGCCAGCGGAGGTTTTTGGCCGGCTTAAATACGCCCACAGGCCCCTGAGGGACAGCCCATGACGGATGGCACTGCGTGTGACTCCGATTCGATTCAGCCCATTTGATAAATTTATTGCTGGCATTTTGAAAATGAAATTAGAGGGACGACTCGTGGAGACTGTTTTTCCAGCACAGGTGCCATAAATACACTTCATTTGGCAGAGCAGAGGGAGGAAAAGAGTAAGGGGGCTGTGAGGCGTCGGATAAAGGATGTCATGGTAGGGGGGCAGATAGAGGGGATGTTCCACAGTAGATGAGAACTAAAGAATAAGGTCATGTTATAATGAGGTCCTGTATTAATCATTTTATTGGTAAGTTACAACAGTAAAGGTTATTCAAGCACAGCATGACTACTGTGGACCTTATTACTATGTGCTGGCCTTCGGTCTTACACATATTCAGCAGCATTGTACCTGTTTGAACAGATGTGAGACCAACATCACTCATGCTGGATGATAACAGATTGAGACTGTGGGGAGTTGACATTGGCAGTGTGCACAAATGTCCAGTTTTATCCATTTTTCATTCAGGTAGGCTCATAAACACACACGCTTGAATGCAAGTCTTTTCAGAGATTTGCACAAAAACACATGGTGTATGTACTAAATGTTTGCCTCAAAGCCTTTGGCTCTTCAGAAGGAATAGCAGTTTCAAAAGTGCAACCCATCTATAATTTGTAGTGTATGGATGAAAACGGCAGGGCTTTTTCCTCAATGGCATGCTCAGTATGTAACAGAGAGAGCCACTGAGAGAGCCACTGAAAGATTTGGTTGCTCTTTCTGGCTGAACAGATTTGAATTGGGTGTACTGTATGGGCCAGAGACGAAAATTATACAAACACATAAAAGTCAAACACAGGCATGGACACACACATGCTAACAAAAGTGAGCATTCATCCACTGTCAGGGATGTGTGGCCTTTCTTATCTCCACTCTCACTCAAAAGTGTGTGCGTGTGTGTGGCTGTGGATGGATGATGTACACCACGCCAGCCTCTGCTCTCCTCCAACATTCATCAGAGAGGGAGGCCCAGGCAGCAACATCACTTACCTTTATGGGCCCCTCTGACAGCATCATACACCGCATAGTCGTCGCATACATAGGCCTCACAAATCTGTGTGTATGTGTGTGGGTGAGCGCACACTAAGTGTAACCTGTCACCCAGTTGTGCTCTATGAATGCCTCTTGCACTGTGTCTACTAGCAGCTCCAACATATCTAAAGCACAGTAAGTTGACAAATGTCGCCGTGTTCCCAAAGACAACCTCCTGCTGTTGAACTTTTTCAAATATGCATGTTGTGCACATTATATCAGATCCAGGTGACAATGGAAATATTTTCACCTTCATTCATTTCTGCTCTGTTCTGTAAGAGCTGGTGCAAAACAACAGATACGTTCTTATGAGCACAGCTGGAAACCAAATACATTTTCAACAAAACCAGCAGGGAGTTCTGCTGAGTGACTGTCTGCTCCTGCTTTGCAATCACAAGAGAGTGACACACCCTCTGCCACTACATTACCTCCACTATGAAGTCTAGAACGCTGGGACTGCTACAGTACAGTATGTGCATACACCTGTAGACTGCCATTCAAAACACAACCCATGGAGGTGTTTGGACAGTTTGAATGTGTGGCCCCTATCATGTTTCAAATCAAAACAAGCTACGGTTACAACCCTGCAAACATCCCGCCGTTAATATCTGCAGTGTCTTCCTGAAGATCGGCTATGCAAAACATCACCTCCCCCAACCTCCCATTAACAAGCTCATGGAAGTGTGGAGGAGTGGGAACAGAACTGTGATTAGACCTAACATGAGACTTACAGAAGAAATGCATGAACACAGGCTGTAGGATGTCTATCATAGCAGGAGAGACGCATAATTTATTCTGGGTGTCAGTGGGTGTGAGTGATTGACTTTGTAATCAAACAGATTGTTCTGTAACAGAAACACTGGATGATTCAGTTTCAAATCAACATCAACACCATGGCGGAATGTTTTTTCATCTCATTAGGGAAAATCTGAGAACACACACCGAGGCAGGGAGCAAAACACCCACATACCAACCATCTGAAAATGCATGGGGATCCACTGTTGACTGATGGAGTGCTGTCTTACCTTTTTGTGATGACACGATGGTATCTGTAAATAGAAGAGGGGAGACACACAGAGGAATGCGTTAGGAGCTGACAGCAGGCTGTATAGTAGAAACATAAAATGCAGGAGATGACAGCAGCTGAAGTGATTTGCTGCGAGGGGTAACGAGCCACCCAAGAGGATAAATAGATAGGGGCCAGGGGGGTTACACAGCCAGAGGGGGTCTCTCATCTCAGACCTGCAAAAAATATCCACTTCACCCTACTCATGCACACTTACTTGTGCCTGAATATGCAAACACACATAGCGACACAAACAGCGGGGGAGCTGGGAATACACACAAACACAAAGCTACTTTTTTCCCTCCACTCCACAAGAAAAGCCCAGGTGGAGAAAAAGAAAAAGCATCTCGGCAAAGGTATTGAAGAGAGGAGAAGAAGTGGAAAGATGAGAGTCTCCAGACCCCTGCAAACCCTTGATCTCTTATGCAATTTACCCTGAGTGAGCTTTCTAATAAGTAAAAGTAATGTCTTTGAGGTGCAGCTAGATAAAGCAAATCAAATCCTTTCAGTAAGCATCTTAGGTTCTTAGTCAGAGCCCACTAGAGACACTCCTGGGCCGTGAGGTGTGGATGAAAACATCGGTTGCTTTAAGAGGATGTACTGCAAAATCTACACTCAAAAAATTACCAGAGTGAAGAAGGCATGTTTGTGAAAGAGAAAATACAGTCAATTTAGCTAATTGTTCTCATAAAACATTGACATGACAAGTGTTTGTAAGATCCCACTGTTTCATCTTTTATTTAATAGACTTGTCAAACTTGCAGGGAGACATTTTTTTCACAACTTCTTTTTTTTTTTAACTTTGTACTTTCAGCAACTGAAATCCTACAGAACAATTTCTCTCCTGGCCAAGTGCCCGAAAAGCCCAAATGGCCACAGACATGGGAGGGGAATAATTGAATCCAGGTGGATTTGTGGAGTGCTGGACTGAAGAAGCGATAATCCAAAGCTCTTCCTAATTGCCAGAATAAAGATGGTGCCCATTGTGGGGGTGGCATCAGTGTTTATCAAGGCAGTGTGGCGTGGGATTGGACTGAGCATTAGGGCTTTACACACTTTTGTTTTGTGAGGTGTTACAGTGGATTTGAACAAATATTGGCCTTCTGGTTATTACATGGTCTGATTGTCTGCTATGCGACTGTCCATAAGCTCTGAACGTCGACCCTAATCTGAGAGGAGGCTTCAAATAATTAGTTAGTGAAGCACTCCCACAGCCCAGCGCAGTCAGCCTTATCACTAAAAGAAAATCCTTGGTCCATTTCCTTCTCACCCCAAAGGCTTACAAACTCCACAACTGTTAAGACCTGCAGAATGTCCTCATAGATGATAAAATATTACCAGACGTGTCACTATTACTGGCCCATTGCCTGCTCTTTAAGTCTTTTATTATGTAAAAGAAAGGCTTTCGTATGCCAAAACATTTAGGCTGAACATTTCCCAAAGACTTTCAGGCCTATTTTGCATGCGCTAACTAAAATACCCTGGAATTTATTTTCCAACGTCTACCTATTATAAGAAAACCTGTCCAATTCCTGCAGGTGGAGTGCTTTAAACTAACTCATTTCAAACAAAATGCAGGGCTCTTGAGAATGGTTTGCCGATATGTTTCAGTCGCTTGTTTTCACAAAACTGTCATCGTCTTTCTGCGGAACATTCACATATTACAACAAACAACATCAGTTCAAAAGTTACACAACTGTTCCTCAGCAGAGTCTGTGCCAGACTGTACAGCTGTGAATTGAAGCAAAAAATCCAAACTGTTATGTAAGAGTGTTTCAGAACCCATTGGATCTGTCCATGTATTTGAAGCTTGCAGGGATTATAATGAAAGCCTAAACCACGAGTCTTACAAGTTTGAACAGCTAAGACAGCAGCCGTGGCAGGTAACTGGTGGGCATCAGACACGCGCTTCATTCATTCCAGCACCTCTTAAGATTTACACGCACTTAAAGCTGGATTTGTGCGGCCCATAAGGAGCTCAACAAAGTGCCGCTGTTAAAACATTTTTCAAGTTATTTAAAATCTACCATTGAGTTCAAGACAGTGTGGTAAACAGCACATGTCAATTTGTGCAGTAGATGTTGGGAGGCTTAATCAAAGACAGCACAACATAGCCGTGATTTAATTTGATATAACAAGGCATAACGTTTATTATGGATTAATTAATTAGCCTGATGCACAGTTACCTGCAGTACACAGCAGGGTGCTACACCGTGTGTCTCTTTCTCTCTGTGCACACTGGAATGATATATTGGGCAAGGGGTAATTTTTAAGAAAATGTGGTCACATGTTCTCTTATTATAACAGTTTTAAAGTGATTATCGTAAGACTGCACTACTTCCCTGTTTAGAACTTACTGGGTTCAGAGCAGATACACCCTGCTGATTAGTTTTAGCACACATAAATAACTCTGCTGTTTAGGGGGGGTAAAGAAACCCCCTCCCCCCCACCCATCATTGATTAGTGCATGTCTTCCCAGCTATCAGTGGCTTATATGGATTTGGAGACTAATTTGCAGTGAATATGTGAGTGGTGTTCTGATGTGCCAATGCTCCCACAGCATTGCTCCTGTGGGTTTGAGTTATATGTAAAGCAGGCCATATGTCGATACAGGTTTCACACTGCAAAGTATGCATGCAAGCCGAGTAAAGTTAAGAGTGGCCAAAAGATACCCAAGGACATAAAGCTAGACCTTAAAGATGCAATTATGTAACAGAGAAATAAACATTCTCAGAAGTCGTTTGAATTTCCATTCAGAAATGAAGCATTTCACTCTCAAAGAATATGAAGAAAGAGGATAAGAGAGCTAGGAGATAAAGGCTGATAAAAAGAAGAGTCATCATTCTTTTAGGCAGACATGTAGCCTCTAACAATTAGACTTCGATGCAATACAAAATTAATAGTCATGCAGAAAACAATGACCAAGTCCGATTTGAGTCATTCTAATAGCGTTTGGTTAAAGAATATTTGTGTTGACATTTATAACATTCATAACTCATTCAATTCTATTATCCCCATGTACTCTTCTTTGATTAAAACGATAGAAAAACAATGAGCAGAGGAGGGAAATGACACTAAATCAAAGACAATATTTTCTGTAAGAACCACTGAAGCAGAAAGAGGTTCTCTGCTTGACTGACATCTACAGAGAAAAAAAGATCTTCCATCAAGTAATGTTAAGATGGATTATAAATGAAAGAAAGAAGCATTAATGGTTCCCAAAAACAGACAGGCAGTCATTCTGAAACTCTGTGATACTGGATGTCCTCATGTATTTACTAGCGGCAAATTTAAACCCCAATGTGTTTGTCACCGAAAACTCAGCGTCACCAAGAAGGTTTAATTTGGGAAAGAAACGGTGCAAGCTTAACAGACAGATCATTATTTCAACTGTTAATTGGTTGAAAACCAAAAAATGGGAAAAGTTTCGTTAAAATTCCATTCATTTTTACCAGTGAGGATTTGTCACCACACCAAATCTTAAAATCAACTTCTGCATTATATTCCACATTTTGGTTACTGTGGTTGGATGTGCTAAGTGGGTAGCAAGCAATTTTACCAACAACCAAAGCGCCAGACCAGTAACTACAATGAACCATTACAGCTTTTTACATCAGCATCTAATGTCACTCAAAATCAGTAGAGTATCCTTTTCTTTATCTCGAGCTACACACACACTGTAGAGAAAAGGGAAAAACTATTTGTGTAAAGTAGAAGTTGCTCTTACATGACAAATAACACAAAAGTTGCCAAACGCAAAAAAAGTGCTGTGTTGAGAAAGTTGACAAAGACTTTGTGCCACTGATGATTATCAGCGTCAGTCTGTTGTCAGCACTTTTTTGCACAGTGTGGCACATTTTGTACCATCTGTCACATGAGGGAATCAAAATAGAGAACATTATATGCAAGGCAAGCTTCAACTTGATTGAGAATGCTTTCTCTTCTGTGACCAACGAGCTCCTTCTTTCTTCTCGTACTGCATGTCTAAATGAAGAATAGGCACACCTGCACAGGACTAGATTGAAGCTATAAACAGCGTGTGATGGATTTGACTTTAGTTAATGATGATAGTGAGAACAATGATCAGCGGTGATGAGAGCAGCTTCAAAAATAGTATCTCTCAGGTGCAAATTTCCTGGATTCTACCCTCTTCACTCGTCTTCCTTTTGTCTTTTCTAATTTATAGTTTCAACCTTGACTGCTGTCACAAATACTTTTTTCGTTTCTGGAGATTGACCCCTAATGTGAGGACAGCTGGATAGTTTTTACATGCAAATGGTGCAGATCATCTGTTTCTAAGGGGTTGACTGCAGAGCTAAAAATGTAAGATCTCTAAAAGCTTTTGTATGAAATTAGAAAACATATTATAAAGTAGTTTCTGCTATGCTTTTCTAAAGCTGTAACAGTTGGATTTTAGAGACCTTCAGTTGATTGCGGGTCATTAACTCTGATATTATGAAGGAGCAAGAGCCGTTTACCATTCGTATCAATAAATAAAAAGAATTGAAGCAAGTTCATATCAACCCAAGCAGCCAATGGAATCACACATTGCAGATACACTATTACAGATGATGAGTAGATTCATGCTTGCTTTCTGGTACTGAAAAATGCAGTATATGTATGCAGGAGGGAATCAACCACTGATCCTTAACATACACTATTCATCCTAGCCTGATTGAATTAGACTGCTATTGGAAACCTGTCGTCTATTGACCTGTTAAAGTTGTGGCCTTCCAGCAGTCGCCTCTGGGAATAGTTTTAATTACAGCCAGAAATTGGCTTCGATTTTATCCCCATCATGAAGTGAGAAATCCGTTCTGCTAATCATCGCTTCATCAGGACAAATGAAAAGCTGATCATCGCTGTAAGCTGCAGCAAAAGCACATGCATGGATGCATTGTTTCTATGATAGAAATCGCTGCTTTAGTGTATGCACAGGAATGAAAATATATTCATTTATGTAGCTGGATGTGAGCTGTAGAA